GCTGACAATAGGAGATGCCAGGTGTATAGTATGTGTGGGAGATGCCAGGTGTATGAATGCGTGTTAGGGAGATGCCAGGCGTGCGCTACGTATGGGTGATGCTAGTCGTGCAGTACGTGTGGGAGATGCCAGGTGTATAGTCGTGTGGGAGATGCAGATACAGTGTACTGTATATGTGCACGTGTGGGACATGCCAGGTGTATAGTACTATATGGAGATGCCGAGCATACTAGTAATGGTGGGAGATGCCAGGTACAGTGTATATATAATGCGTGTGGGGAAATGCTGTAGATATGTATGAAATGCGTATGGGAGATGCCAGTACATGTGGGAGATGCAGGTGTATAGTATGTATGGAGATGCCAGGCATGCAATGCGTGTGGGAGATGCCAGGTACAGTGTATATAATGCGTGTGGGAAATGCCAGGTGTATAATGCATTATGGGAGATGCCAGGCATACAGTACATGTGGGGAAGCAGGCGTGCAATGCGTGTGGGAGATGCCGGGTACAGTGAATATAATGCGTGTGGGGAGATGCAGGTGTATGATACGTATGGAGATGCCGGGCATACAGTACGTGTGGGAGATGCCGGGTGATGATGCGTGTGGAGATGCCGAACGCCACAGTACGTGTGAGAGATGCCAGGTGTAGCAAAATGCGTATGGTGCTAGGCATACGGTGCGTGTGGGGAGATGCCAGGTGTATGGTACCCAGGTGTATATGCGTATTAGGAGATACCAGGCATACGATGCGTGTGAGATGCCGAGGTGTATAATGCGTGTGGGAGATGCCAGGCATGCAATGCGATAGTGGGAGATGCCAGGTGCATAATGCATTGGGAGATGCCAGACGAGGTACGTATAGGAATACCAGGTGTACCAGTACGTGTGGGGAATGCAGGTGTATGTATGTGTGGGGAGATGCCAGGTGTATAGTATGTGGGAGATGCCAGGCATACGAATACGTGTAGAGATGCCAGAGGTATAATACGTGTGGGAGATGCCAGGTGTATATCGTATGGAGATGCCAGGCGTATAGTGACGTGTGGGAAATGCCAGGTGTATGGTAATATTGTGGGAGATGCCAGGGTGTATAATGCACGTTATTGGGAGATGCTTGGTAGTATAAAATGCGTATGAGGAGATGCCAGGCGTGCAATGCGTGTGGGGAGATTCCAGGTGTATAGTATTTGTAGGAGATGCCAGGTATATAATACCTATGGGGAATGCCAGGTGTATGTCGATATGGGAGATGCCAGGCGTGCAATGCGTGTGGGAGATGCCGGTGCCCATAGTACATGTAAGGAGATACCAGGCGTGCAATTGCGTGTGGAGATGCCAGGTGTATAATGTGTGGGGAATGCCAGGTGTGTATAGCAGTGTGGAATGCCAGGCATACAATGCACTGTGGAGATGCAGGTGTACCAGTACATATGGGAAATTCCAGGCATACATACACGTGTGGGAGATGCCAGGTGCATGAAAATGCGTGTGGAGGATGCCGGAGCATGCAATGCGTGTGGGAGATGCCAGGTGTATGAAATGCGTGTGGGAGATGCCAGGCATACACGATGCGTGTGGGAGATCGCCAGGTGTATAATGCGTGTGGAGATGCCAGGCGTGCAATCGTAATGGAGATGCCAGGTGTATAATGCGTGTAGGGAGATACCAGGCGTACAATGCGATAATGGGAGATGCCAGGTGTACAGCACGTATGGAGATGCCAGGTGTATAGTATGTGTGGGAGATGCCAGGTGTATGGTATGTGTGGGAAGATGCCAGGCATGCAGTACGTGTGGGGAATGCAGGTGTATAATGCGTGTGGGGATGCCAGGCGTATAATGCGTATGGGAGATGCCAGGCGTATATGGCCTTTGATGGGAGATGCCAGGCATTGCAATCATGTGAGGAGATGCCAGGTGTATGGTAAATCGATGTGGGAGAGATACCAGGCATACAGCACTTATGGGAGATGCCAGGTGTATAGTATGTGGGAGATGCCAGGTGTAATGCGTGTGGGAGATGCCAGGCGTGCAATGCACGTATGGTGATGCCCGTGCATTACGATGCTGGGAGATGCCCAGGTGTAATGTTGATGGGAGATGCAGGTACAGTGTGCTGTATATAGCACGTGTGGGACATGTACCAGGTGTATGATGGTATGGAGATGCCAGGCATACAGTATGTGGGGAGATGCCAGTACAGTGTATATAATGCGATGTAGGAAATGCCAGGTGTATACACATTATGGGAGATGCCAGGCATACAGTACATGTGGGAGATGCCAGGTGTATAATGCGTATGGGAGATGCAAGCATGCAATGCGGTGGGAGATGCCAGGTACAGTGTATATAGTGCGTGTGGGAAATGCCAGGTGTATAATGCATTATGGGAGATGCCAGGCATACAGTACATGTTAGGAGATGCCAGGCGTACAATGCGTGTGGAAATACAGGTACGGTATATATAATGCGTGTGGGAGATGCCAGGTGTATATGATGCGTATGGGAGATGCCAGGCATACAGTGCGTGTGGGGAGATGCCAGGTGTATGAATGTGTGGGAGATGCCAGGCATACAATACGTGTGGGAGATGCCAGGTGTATAATGCTGTATGGGGATGCTGGGCATACAATGCGTGTGAGAATGCAGGTGTATGGTATGTGTGGGAGATGCCAGGCATACAATGCGTGTGGGAGATGCCAGGTGATAGTACTGTGCGTGTGGGAGATACCAGGCATACAGTGCGTGTGGGAGATGCCAGGTGTATGAATGCGTGTGGGAGATGTCAGGCGTACAGTACGTGTGGGAGATGCCAGGTGTATAGTACGTGTGGGAGATGCCAGGCGTACAGTACGTATGGGAGATGCCAGGTGTACAGTACGTATGGGAGATGCCAGGTGTATAGTATGTGTGGGAGATGCCAGGTGTATAGTATGTGTGGGAGATGCCAGGCATACAGTACGTGTGGGAGATGCCAGGAGTATAGTACGTGTGGGAGATGCCAGGTGTATAATACGTATGGGAGATGCCAGGCGTATAGTACGTGTGGGAGATGCCAGGTGTATAGTATGTGTGGGAGATGCCAGGTGTATAGTACGTGTGGGAGATGCCAGGCGTATAGTACGTATGGGAGATGCCAGGCGTACAGTACGTGTGGAAGATTCCAGGTGTATAGTATGTGTGGGAGATGCCAGGTGTATAATACGTGTGGGAGATGCCAGGTGTATAATACGTATGGGAGATGCCAGGCGTACAGCACGTGTGGGAGATGCCAGGTGTATAGTACATATGGGAGATGCCAGGCGTACAGTACGTGTGGGAGATGCCAGGTGTATAGTATGTGTGGGAGATGCCAGGTGTATAGTACGTGTGGGAGATGCCAGGCGTATAGTACGTATGGGAGATGCCAGGCGTACAGTACGTGTGGGAGATGCCAGGTGTATAGTACGTGTGGGAGATGCCAGGTGTATAGTATGTGTGGGAGATGCCAGGTGTATAGTATGTGTGGGAGATGCCAGGTGTATAATACGTATGGGAGATGCCAGGCATACTGTACGTGTGGGAGATGCCAGGTGTATAGTACGTGTGGGAAATGCCAGGTGTACAGTACGTATGGGAGACTCCAGGTGTATATATGGGAGAAAAACATACAGTACTCCCTCTTTATCGACGGGGGTTACGTTCTGTAGACGGCCGTCGATAAAGAAACCGTCGATACCGTGATGGTTACGTAATTTTTCTAACTATTATTAGCATATGTTGAATAAATGTACCTTTAAGCATTAATGCGTTTCCTTTACACATAACCTTAAATAATAGTGTATAAATAATAATATAATAAGTGGACAAAAATACTAGCAAACTTACGATTTCATTTATTGAAGTGAACATCGGTCCTTACAGTAAACAATACAGTGTACAGTATATACAAGTGTGATGATTGAGGCTTATTAAAAGCCTGACCAGTCAGATGAGTATGATGAGTCAAGGTCTGCATCTTCTTGAGGGGTGTGGGCAGGTACTGCGTCTTGTTGTTGTGAGGTGCCGGCAGCTTTTACGTCTTGTTGTTGTGAGGTGTCGGCAGTTTCTGCCTCCTGTTGCGCCACTAGTGCCGCCTAGCGGCGAAAGTACAAACAAGGCCCGCAGAGTTCAAATAAAGCCAAAATAAAAATCCGTCTAAATAATCCGTCGATAATCGAAACCGTCGATAAAGAGGGAGTACTGTATTTTGTAGTCTACTATGAAAATAGTACGGATTCAGTGATAAACAAATTATATAAACCATTTATTTTCCTAGGATAACATAATAAAAAACAACTGTTATAAAGAAATACTTTAACACTCACCATTCCATTCTGGCTGTTTGTGTAAATCTTCTTTTCCTCTCCCCTGTCACTGATAAACATCACAATGAAAATGATGATGAGGATGAAAGTGGTTGAGGGCGCTTGGGAGACATAACAAGCACGCGGAGCACAGTTGTTACGAGAGGAGAGTAGCATAAACGCGAGACGTACAAATGTTTAGCCCGGACTGAGGGGGAGGGAGAGGGCGAGCATGGGCCAGCCTCCCTGGACAAGAGAGACACCTTGCGGGACACCACAAAACTCGCATGCTCCCTGTACCGGCAACTTTAAAACTACAGTCAGTTCTGCTATAACGTGATAGTTGTGTTCTTGTAAAATATCGTGTTATAGAAAATCGCGTAATAGAAATAACAGGGATTATGGAGAAAATAGGGTTATTTGCAGATTACTCAAAATAAAAAAAAATTCGTAGTTAGCCTAACACAAAGGATAGCATAGTCTAAATAAATGTTACATTCATATCTAATAATGAAATCATTCAGTAAATGTTACACTTTACCTTGAAAAAATATGAATATAACTTGATGGGGGAGAAGGGTGATTTTGAGGTTGATAACATCGAGCTTCTCTTCAAGTGTTATATCCTTTCTTTTACGATCATCACCGGGAATTCGATCACCAGAACGCTTCTTGGAGATATTCTTCTTTACCATATTCACAGTAAATAACACAAAATTGGAGAAATAGTAAGCAAAAATCGCGTTACAGCAAACAAGCTTTCGCGTTATACAAATATCGTTCCTCTGTTCATAAATCGCGTAAGAGCATATTTGCGTTATCGAAACACGCGTTATAGCAGAACTCACTGTACCCACAAACATTCTTGGGTACATCCAGGGTGTCATCCACAAATAATAGAGGACCGTGAAAAAAAATCTGTGAATTATCCGGGCGTACTGTACATATACGAATGACAAAATATGTAACCATCTCACAGGCCACCGTATCCTGCATCATCATCCTCCAGTTATATAAAAATCTGCTCATTTATACTGTATTTCTATTGAATTATATTAATGTATATTTATGTATTACTGTGCCTGTCAATTAGGGAGAAAATGGTTGTCTTGAACCTTTGTACCATGTTAAAAAAAATTTGTGTTAATGGCCTTTTCTAGGAAAGAATCTCTTGTTTAAAGTGAGGAAATACTGTAGACCAATTTTCATCAATTCATCTTATGTGTTTTCTAGGAATGCACCAACAATGTAAATGAGGACTTTGTGTGCATATATGTATTTTACAATATTTGGTAAAACTATTCAACGAATTATCATTACATAATCTGAGGGCTCTTTCAAATTCCTTATATTCTTCAGTGTTTTGTATTTGCTCCATATAGAATTTACCAAGAAAATTTTTTTTATTTTCCAATACAAAATGACATAAAGATATGACTAAGGATGTCCTCTGTGGTGATTTGTCCGGTGATGTGACTAAGACTGGTAGTTGCTATGTGGAGGTAGTGGGCAGCCACCACTATTGTCTCCTCTGAGCGCAGAAGATTAATTGATTCATCATCATCTGAAGCTTCATCTTGAAAATGTTGTTGATTAACAGTCTTGCTGAAAGAATGATTATCAATAAATGTTGTAACCTTATTTGAGCAGAATGACTGATGAGAAAAATTAATAGTCTGTGGTTCCAGATCCTTTTTTGACCCTCTATGTTTTCTACACAAATTCATATTTGTCTGAATATTATAATCAGAACCAATTATAATTTTCAGAGATTTTAAACATGCTGAAATATGTGTTCTGTGTCTGGCTGCTGTTAATGTGGGATTTTCTGCAGTTCCCATCTCACAAAGAGAAGCACAAAGGTCCTTTAACTTGTGGAGCGAGGTCTCAATACCCTCTTGTGTTTTAAGAGAAAGTAAAACACACGAATCTTTGAGAACTTTTACCAGCAAATCCCTATCCTCAACACAGTCAATGAGGTCCATTTTATTAATCAATGTAATATGATCTTTATTTCTGATCCAATTAAATGATTCATCAACAAAATTGTTTCTAGTGTCAACTTCATCACAATTATAGATTTCTATTTCTTTGAGGTAGTCACTAAAAAATGTGTCCCAACTGAAGGATTCACATTTAACAAGAGGTAAAACTTCAGGTGCCTCTAGAATGATCACTGCAATATCTGATTGACGGGCTTTGGTCAGCGCTCTCTTCACTCCCTCAATCTCAACAATGTCATCTGTTTGTCGAAGACCTGCTGTGTCACTGATGATGACTGGGTAGCCACCCAGATCTAAGGAAGTTTCAACCACATCCCGAGTTGTACCTGGAAATATTTAGTACTGTATTGTGTTCTAGTTTTTGGACCAACTCACAACACGTAACAAATTATGCCAAAAATATTTCACATTCTTGTGAAAAAAGCTCTTATTACTGTACCTTATGTGAAGATATGTCATGATAAATCTTAATACACTTCGAGGGAAAGAGAGAAAATTGTACTTCATATTTATAGATTTAAGAAGGCATTTAACAGGGTACCATGTTCAGGGGTAAGTGGGCAATGAGAAAGCTAAAAATTCTGGAGTACCTTATTTGAATGGTTATGGCATTGCTGTAAATGAGGGCTCAAAAACCTTTGTGAGAGTAAATGGTGAGGAAATTGAGGTAAAAGTAGGAATCCATCAGGGGTCTGTATTGAACCTACTTCTATTACCATAGTGTTGGAGGCAATATCATGGGACTTTATGACTGGCCTGCCCTGGGAGCTGTTGTATGCTTAAGACTTGGTGCAAACAGCGGATAGTATTGAAGAAGCAGTGGAGAAATTTAAGAAATGGAAGGATGGAATATAGGCAAAGAGCCGGAAAATGAGTGTGGTGAAAACAAATGTATTATCCCCGATAGCCAGAATAATTGGTGCAGAGCGGTTCCGGGATTGAGAGACTTCCAAATATGGAGACGAATTTTCTCATCCCGGGAATTTTTCCGGGTACTGGGGAAAGTTTTTTGGGAGTCTAAACTACACACCTCGCCTGGACAGACACTCTCCCATTACATTTAGGTTGCGGTCACGAGCGAAAATATTTACAGCTAGTGAAAAGGGGTATAAACTTTTATTCACAGAATCTATACTAATTATGCTTGACAGATGAATTTGGTACCATAATAATCTTGAATAAATTCTCTACAAGACTGTTTCAATAAAAGATCCTTAAACAAAAGCTTTTAATACCAGAGTCTATAAAATCAGTTTTAATTAACTTAGAAACATAATTTTTCTAACAAAATAATCCTAAATAGCTTATCTAAAAGTCTGTTAGAATAAATTTATTGTATATTAAATTTTTTTTTTACATTATCACATGGAGATATTTTTGGAGTGAATGGAAATGTGTCACAGCTGAGATCAGTGTGGTACACACTGCTGCCAAGTGTATGAGAGTACCTGGCAACAACAGCTGCTGTGAGTATATGAGAGACCTTGGAAAAATTTACTTTTTCCTAAGGATGTTAAAACCCTGAGTGGATAAAATAAATCATATGGTATATAAAAACCTGAGTGTCAAGTTTAGGTAAAAAATTACAGTAGGTTCAATGTTTTTAGGCAACTTGACTCAGAAATCCCCCACCCTTTGGAATTTTCCTCCCTGTACTGGGGAAAGATTTCCAGGAGTCTAAACTAAGCATCTCCCACGGACAAACACAGAGCTGTATATATGCAATCACCACTATACACATACAGGTTGTACCTCTCTAGTCCGGCATTCTGTGGTCCGGAACGATTTTGGTTTGTCCAATAGGTAGATAGGCAGCATTATTATTATTATTATTATTTTTTTTTTTTTATTTTTTTTTTTTACTTATCTGAATATTATTATTATTACAGGAGTATTAAATTTTTGCCCCTCAGGCCCCAATGTGGGTCAGTGACCTATGCCCGGCTGGGCTAATCCCCTTAAAAAAAAAAAAGCCGCGGGAAATTAAGGTTTGTTTACATCCGGCAGTTCGGCTGCACTCTCTCTCTCTCTCTGCTTGTCTATACAGAGTACAACATTTAACCCTTCAATATATATGAGCAGTAAATAAGTGTTGCTTTCATATTCTTATGTAGAGTAATGACGATATATTTTCACATGTGCGCACTTACATACGAGCAGTCTCACTTTTTTTTTTACCATTAATGGTTAGCCACTTATATTGTTCCATTTATTAACATTAAATAACATTACAGGTACTTCAAGCAACCATATTCATTTTTTACATTAATTTTACTACAGCTAAACTCAGGGTCTTATTTTCTTCAGTTTTATATGTAGAACCAATCAGTCACTGGTTTCGTAAGCTTTAACATAAACAATGCCGGCAGCCGTCTCGTCTCCTCTAATATTCCACGTATTATTAATAAATTGTATTGTTAATTTTGCACACACGTACATTAATTCAATAAAAACAAATTCAGAAACATTAATTAAAATATATATGAACAGTAAATAAGTGTTGCTTTCATATTCTTATGTAAAGTAATGACGATATGTTTTCACGTGTGCGCATGCGCACTTACATATGCGATCTCTCTTTTTCTTTACCATTATCGTTAGCTACTTCTATTGTTCCATTTATTAACATTAAATAACATTACTTAAAACAACCATATTAATTTTACTACAGCTACAACCAAGGTCTTATTTTCTTCAGTTTTATATGTAGAACCAGTCAGTCACTGGTTTTGTAATCAACGAAAACAATGCTGTGTCATTTCCTCGTGTGTTTTAATATTCTACGTATTATTAATGAATTGTATTGCTCATTTTGCACACATAAACATTAATTCAATAAAAAAGACATTCAGTAATAAACAATAATGAATCTTTTGTACATAAGAGAAATGACGCTGTTTACACGATTATGCACGTCGTCTGCACGTTGGCGGGCCGTTCAAACCCGTCGAAATTCAAGTTTCCGCCGTCAAAATTTTTATTTATTTATTTTTTTGTGTGTTCCAATAAAATACGTTAAGAATTAAAAACTCGCGAAATTTAAGAAGCTACTATACGACATTTAACCCTTCAATATGTCTTCAAAGAGACCATGACGCAGAGAAAGTGGTGCTAGTGCTTCCAGGCATAAGCACAAGTCACTATCTATCCAGGAAAAGGGTGAATTTCCATGGTCCGGCAATTTCCATGGTCCGGCACCGGTCAGGTCCCGAGGTTGCCGGACTAGAGAGGTACAACCTGTACAATCTATTGTAAAGAAACAAAATATACTACAGGTTCACAATCCCTTATCCGCAATTCCGAAATCCAAAAAGCTCTGAAAACCGAAAAATTTTTCGTGGAGCATCACTCGTGTGCACGACATACCCAGAGTGACACCAAACATGACCCGAAGCGGCCGAAGCTTGATCCACGTAGGTGTGAGGCGTCAGTTGTATCTCAGCATAACATAACTTGCATTGCTGGAATCCTTGCAAGACAGCAAATAGTTTGAATATAGACATCATATATTTTGCACAAGATTTTAAAAAGCTTAGTCCTTTAGTGTAGTACATTTAAGTACAAGTTTTTCAACTCGTATTTTGGGGTAGATATACGTAACTTTCTTCATTTATTTTTACTCATTTACATAAACACACCATCCCAAATACATATTGTAAAACAAGCAAAAAAAATAATTGTCCTTAGGGCAAACCTGTACTGTACTCAAATGTACTAAATAATAAAATAATAAATAAAAAAATTATGTCGAGTGCAAACCGCAGCATGTTTATACTCAAATTAATCACTAACTTACAAGGAGTCCAGCAATGTAAGTTATATTCTGCCAAGTAAATTCATTGACATTTTATAAGCGAAAAAACTCCCTCTATATGACCGATAACAATGCACTGGGTAATCTCCTCGCTGGCTGGTCAATACCTCAACTCACCCACCCCTCCTTCCCCCTGCCTGGCTGTCAACACCTCACCTCCCCCTTCCCAGTGGTGAAGTTAGTTATAGTCTTAAAGTTTTTATTTTATAAAATATCAAACTAAACTTAACAAAATATAACTTTCATTGCTATCTTGCAAGATAGCGAATAATTTGAAGAAGACATTACACACCTCGAAATAAGTGTTAAAATATTTTATCCTTTTTTATTTACTATTGTATAGTATATTGTACAGTACAGTATTACCCCGCTTAACGCGGTTTCGCTTAGCGCTTTTTACCGTATACGCGGTGCCTCGCCAGAGCCGAACTTTCACTTAAAGCGGGTTTTTTCCACGTATACGCGGTGAGTGTCCGGCTCGAGAGCTATTTTTAGATTCGCCCCACCCCCCACCCGCCACCCTGCCTGACTGCCTGTTTTAGCTCATAAAATTCATACAAATTACCCGGCCAGAATATAATTTACATTGCTGGAATTCTTACAATATGATGATCATTTTGAATATAAACATCATAGATTTTGCATTAGACATACAAATTTTAGATATAATGTTTACTCTGAGTAAATATGTTATTTTTTGTGTAAAATATTCCTGGGCATACAAGGAATCCAGCAATGTCAATTATATTATCCTAACTTTAGTTTGAGGTATTATTTATTACTAAAAAGGTAAATATTCTGGTTTTCCCACACATCTGGTAGGGACGGCTGGTGGGGGGTGGGGGGGAGGGAGGGACCGACTGACCATCTGTTACCGTGTGAAGAATATTTTTTTTTTATTAACTGAAGATATTTGTTTTAGCTCATAAAATTCATACAAATTACCCGGTCAGAATATAATTTACATTGCTGGAATTCTTATAATTTGATGATCATTTTGAATATAAACATCATAGATTTTGCATTAGACATGCAAATTTTAGATGTAATGTTTACTCTGAGTAAATATGTTATCTTTTGTGCAAAATATATGACATTTATATTCAAAATATTCCTGGTCTTACAAGGAATCCAGCAATGTCAATTATATTATCCTAACTTTAATCTGAGGTATTATTTAATACTAAATGTTAAAATTTAGTTTTTTCACCCAACATCTCTTGAAGGGAGGATTGGTGGGGGGTGGGGGGGAGGGTTGGGACTGACCGCGCGGTTGGAAGAGGGGGGCGAGGCAAGGTGGGGTACTTTGATTGACAGATAGTGTCGTGAAGAATATTTTTTTTTTATTAACTGAAGATATTTGTTTTAGCTCATAAAATTCATACAAATTACCCGGCCAGAATATAATTTCCATTGCTGGAATTCTTACAATTTGGTGATCATTTTGAATATAAACATCATAGATTTTGCATTAGATATACAAATTTTAGATATAATGTTTACTCTGAGTAA